TAAGAGTTATTAACTTCTTAGTGTGTTTTTGCAGTAGTTGAAGAGTGGGAAAATATCGATATTTATGTTGAAATTTTTGGGTTTTGATTCTCCATTGTGTTGTTGAAATTTGAAAAGGAGCCACTATATTGACATTTGATAATATAAGGTGATTAAAATTAGTCAAATTTTGTAGCATAGAGTTTGAACTCTAAATAGAATTTAGAAGCAATGTATATATAAAAAAAATATATAGGTAATACTTCGTATTGAAGATGGTATTGGATCGAGCTAGCCCATAGCACGACACAAGTCACAGAACCTAACCCAACATGAAATAAACACGCCATCAACACAAGATAGGCACAATGCAATAGCTAATATGTGTGTCGAGCTAGAGTCGGGCATGGGCCACTTTTATTTGACTTAAGCACAACTCTTCAAAATAAGTCGTATTTGACTTAAGCACGTAAGCACAACTTGACTTTGACCACTTTTGTCTCATTAGAGTGGTCAAAGAAGAAAGATCAATACAAAATGGAGGAAGTATCATACTCTTGTGTCCGATGCATTAAGACTCCCCCTTGTGAAGAGCATCTTCTAATGGTTTATTTTTTTTCCCTACCACAAAGGCACAAATGACTTAACCTCGACCTACACAAGAGTTGTCTTAAGTGATAAGCAGCTTGATATTGTTTAAGGGAGGGCTCGAACTTTTGTTGGAAGACTCACCCATCATAAGCTAGGTGTGCAATCCGAATTGGATCCGGATGTTATCGAAGCTACACTCCGGTGAACTAGGTTGGCATACTCAAAAAAAAAAAAAAAAAAAAAAAAAAAACCTTAACCTCGTCCTTAAAATACAAGCTACATAAACTCCGCAAGTCCGTAGTATTATAGTCCATCAAGTCTTAAGATGAAGCCCAATACGAAGAACCCATCACGGAACAGCTCACTTCACAACATGCAGGCCCACTCCGCAGCACATCTTTAGCCCGAACGCTAAGCTTTTTTGTTCCGAATTTTGAGGCCCAACTATCATGTTGGATCTGTTTGACTTATACAAGAGTAACATGACTAACATCCCAAGAAAAATATTTCCTAACAGTTCAAAAATATTTCAACTTTATTCACGGCGTAAGTCTTTGGCATTGTTTACTGTTTAGTTTACGTGCGAAATAAGCTTCCATATTCTTGAAAAGTTTTTCAGTTATTCACTTTATGTGAAATTTTTCAGCTATTCACTTTATGTGAAATTCTCATAATATATTTGGTTGACAATAAGAAATTTACACTTCCCATGAATTAAGTTCCTTTGTTTTGTTTCAATGAATTTATCTACTTCTCATGCATGTAACTTCTCATGCATAACTAATTGATGTTGTAACATAATCTAATAATGTAAGGCAATAAAATAGGTACCACTAATAATACTTCTTTAATTATAGATGCATAGTTTGTAAACACATGAGAGTTCTAGGCAGTATTTAGAAATGAGAGAGATGGATAGAGGACTCATGCGATCTAAGAGAGATAAATTAATTACAAAAGAAAGTGATGCATCTAATTTGAAACCTCCTCGTTTAGAAAGTGATGCATCTAAATAGAAACTATAAATATAAAGCAATAGAATGATGTATACAAGTATAGTTGCTACTTTGAATAAAATATTATTTAAGAGTTATATAATGCTTACATAGAGAGGTATTTTTATTATTTTTGTAATATATTCTGCAAAAACAAATAATATTGAATTAAGTAGAGTCAAGATAGTTAGTGGTGTTCCTTACAAAAAAAAGACCATTGTTATATCCCATTAAAGGTCCATTAGCTACAATACTACTATAGTCTTTAAAAAAAAAAATGGCGGATCTTGAGCCAAAAAATTGGGGGACAAGGTTTGAACCTCTAACCTTTTGCTCAAAAATAACATTATTTAACCACTATGTCTTAGCTTCACATAGAAAGAACTATATGTGATAGAGGGAGTATTTATTTTTTAATTTTTTATATCTTCTTTTTGTTTGCCTTCCGATGATGGAGGTAGTGCTTGTGAGTTATTTCTTCATTCTCCTATGGTGGATTTTGTATAATTAATTCACTGATGAGATTTTTTTATCGAGGACTGTAATAGATGCCAGTTTTTCAAATGCACTAGGATGAATCAAATGAAGAACAACTTTAGAAGTCATCAAACTCATCACTATTAAAAGAAATCATCATGGTTCTATCTTCAAAGGTTGCATTATCCAACATTATGTAACATAGATGTTCTCCTTTTTTTGTAAGTACACATTTACAACATTGAACTCTTATTTGTATGTAATTTTTGTGAATGAAAAAAAAGTGGTTAAAGTATAAGAGGTGTATTAAAAAAATGAATGTTTGGATGGATATAAGAAAAGGATGGACAGGGTAAGAGAGAGAGAAGGAAAATGTGTAAATAAGTGTGGTTTAATGGAGTAAGAGAGAAATGATAAGGTGGATAGAATTTTCTCGCTCTTTTATTTACACATTTTACACATGTTTAAATTACAAAGGAAATTTTCAAATTTTTTGTGATTACAAATTAAAGATATTTAATGATAAGGCTAAGAAAAATAAAAATCTGATATGTTTGAATTTTTAATCTAGTCTAATTTGATTAATTTTGAAATAAGCAGATATCAACTTAAATAAGTTGAACAAAACATAGTTTTAACTAACCCTTCTATGTAAGGCTCCTAAAAGTTTGTATTGTCGTCCCGGTATAACACTTAAAATGAATAGAGAGATTACATGTTTTAGTTTAACCAATTTTAATAACTAAAACAATAAATTCTCTCCATTAACATCAAATTAAAACATGTTTTCGTTCTAACTCTCACCCAAGCTTAAGACAAGAAAAAATTGTCTCCAAAGTGGGATTACAATGGACATTTGACTAATGCAATTCAGTTAATCTTGTAAGCTTTATTACACCCTTAGATGAATATGGTCAATATGAAAAAGTTAGCCCAAATTCTTTCCAAGCACTTGTGGACAACTAACAAAACATTGGTATTCATTAACTAATGTACGTAATAACTAATAAGATAGGGATGTATAAACTAATTAATTAATACACAAAGAATCTCAAGTCAAGTCTATACATGTCAGCCCTTAGCTTGTGAGTAGATATCACGGTTATCGGAGGAGGCATAGAAGCTGAACAAAGATCTGAAGCACTACATCCAAAAGTCTTTTCTTGGAGGGTACAACTACGCATTATTTTAATGGAAGTAGTAAGTGTTGAAATTAGCAACACGTTTAAATGTTGTAATCCGTATGTCTTTTTTAGGTAATCCCTTCATCACTTTCCTCTAGGTTCTTGTTTCTTTTCCGGAGTATTTTTTTCTTAGAAATGTCATGCATGCCATGGTATCGTACATAGATGAGCCCATAGAAATTGACATGATACGACACAAATTAAACATGAAAAAATTGAGTTAGTGTTATGAGTTTATGAACTTCATTAAACAGGCTGGGTAGTGTTGAGAATCCCAACACGAAAGTAACGCGTTCAAATCTGGTTAAAAAAAAAAACCCAAAATTTATAAATAATTTGATAAACATTTTGAACAAGGCTATTGTTTTTTTTTTTTTTTTTTATTTTTTTTTATTTTTTTTATATAAAATAACATGAACTGGACACGAAAAAACCAATTGGAATCAAGGGTTTCCGACACGCTTAATTAAACGAGCCAACACGATATGATACGACACAACACAACACATTTAATTTGTTAGGAGGGTCGGGTTAGTGTTGAGGTTTTTCAACCCGTTTAATACGACACTACACGGCACGTTTGCTAGCTCTAACCATATCTTTTATTGATCATAATTTTAAAACTCAAATAAGTGTATATTAAGTATTTGTAGTGTGAAAAGAGATACATAGTACGGTGTATTAATTTTTTTTTAAGGAAAACAGTGTTTGTGAAACTTTCTTCGTCTTTTCTTTCCTAATGTCAGATATTTGATCAATAGTGTCTTTAATTATCAATAACTACTATAAATTTTTCAAAATAATTGACATAATCAAACTTGACGCATATGGTAATGTACTAGTTTGACCTTTTTTTTGTAACACAACACTAGTTTGACCTTAAGACAATGTTTAGTTCACCTTTTTTAGGACCTAAGCTTATTACTTATTTGTAAACTCTACTTTAAAACAATAGTATAGAAAATAACTTTAACTAGATACACCAATATAAGTGTGCTTATTATTACATATACACATTTTTTTAAATCTTTATCAAGGTTAACATGTGACTAACTCATATCAAATCATAACCCGACCTAATAATACATGAGTAAATGGCCCCTTAACATGAAAAGGGATTTTAAAATATACTCAAATTAAATCACATGTGACCACCAATAAAAAAAAATTAATAAATAAAATAATAATAATAAAAAAATAAATTCACCTAACTTAGTAAATGAACACTTAACATGAAAAACGATTTTAAAATGTAGTCAAATCACATGTGACACACATAAACGAAATCACTTAACTTTGAAACGATAATGAGGAAATTGCATTAAGCCTACACTCGATCAAAAAATTGAAATAAAAATAAATAATAATAATAAAAAAAAGGCTCAAAACTTGATTTGACACAATCCAATTTGTTATTTACCTTTACATGATTTAATACAACCTTAACTCAATATCGTTTTTTGTTAGGATTAAATTAATCTTTACCTTTAATTAGCACTCCCTTTGTCCCTTTATATTTGCATTATATGACTCATAAAACTCACATAAAGTGCGCCCATGATGCAAATAAAAGGAGACATGACGAGTATCTATTACTTCTACTTTTATACCCAGACTCAAATTTACTTGATCCAAATTTTCTAATAGAGACACCCACCTACACAATCCATCCAGTATAACTGACCCAAAACTGGCCCGTCCGATCCTGAACACGGGATCGATAGATCTACTTTCTCCGACTCTACAAGCTGTACACAAAAATTAGGACATGGGTAGAAAGGCAGATACCTAATGGGAAATTAAAACTAGGCAAAATCAGCCAAAAAGTGTAAAGGAAAAGAGCATTAGGCCCCTTTAGCTATCGAGTGACTATAATTGGTCTTACAAAAGAAATACAACCACCACTCCAACACTCCTCCTCCTCTCACTCCATACAACACAACACACTTTCTCTCTCCTCTTTCTTTCCTGCTGCTCCAGATCTCCATAACCCCATTTCTCTAAAAGCTCACTAAACACTAGATTGTTACACAAAACCCCATTTTACTCTTTCTCTCTCCTCTCTCTTCATTACCCACCTTTTAATTTCTCCCCCCAAAAAAATTAAAAATTAAAAAACAATGTGTTTCTTCTCAAACACCGATCCATACCATTCTTTCCCCGGGAATTTAGGGGAAGTTTAAGCACATTTTCTGCTTAATTTTTCTTTAATTTTTTTGGGAGTTCAGCATTTTTTAGTGGGTTAAATTTTAAATTTTTAAAATGAGAAAGCATGGATGGCAACTTCCTTATCACCCACTTCAGGTGCAATTTTTTGTCAATTTTTTGATATTTTTTGTTGAATAATTTCTAATTTTCTGTACTGAATTTTGGTTGAATTGCTGAATTTTGGGTGCAGGTGGTAGCAGTAGCAGTGTTTTTAGCACTGGGTTTTGCATTCTATGTATTTTTTGCTCCTTTTGTTGGGAAGGAGCTTTACCAGTATATCATAATGGGCCTCTACACTCCTCTTGTGAGTTTATGTTGTCTTGATGAAGTTGAGATCTGGGTTTTATCGGATTAATTTGACTGTGTAGCGGCCGTAAAAGGAAATGATGTAGACGGGATTCGATAACGGGTTTTGGATACCACTTTAATCAACTTATTATTTATGTGTTTTGTTTGTACATTTTGTTTTGGGTTCTAATTCTGAATTTAATTTTTTTAGGGGTTATGTTGAATTTGATCCAATTTCCTGGAAATGGGTTGCTTTTCCTTTTCTGGGTTTGATTTTGAAAATTTGAGTTTCCTTTTTGTCGCTACATAATCTAAGAGCACCAATGCCATTACTTTTTCTTGATAAGGGAAGATGAAATATTTGTCTTCTAGCAACTTTATTGATTTTTTCAAAATATTCTTTATTATGTCACTTGAATTATGCTATTTATCTCTTCAGAAATTGTGATTTAATTATCAGATTCCATTTATTATGTGGCAAATCCCAGATAAACAGATAATTGTTGTTTAACATGACGTTATATGATTATAATTCATTTAATTCAATGGGTTTTGTGTTTTTAATGTATATAAAATAAATTTGGCTTATCCTTTATACTTATTGCTGGCTATGTCTGATTCATAATTCAATGGGTTTTCTGGATTTTGGCGTTTATGCTGACTTATAGTATTTCGGACTTGATTCTTCCAAGCAATAATTTGACGAAATATACATTGTTAAATGTTTTATTTATTTGTGCTTTTTTGTCTTCTCATTTTCTAGTGCAACCCACTATTATTTGAAATGATGTGTTTATTGTAATATAATTCATTATCCCTTTGTAAATTTGGTGTGATTTCTAATAAAAGTATCAATCTATTACTAAGTTCATCGTTATATACTTATCCAAGGTTTGGTTCAGAACTTGCCACTACATAATTACATATGTCGAATGTCCGTTAATATTTTTATGTCACCAAGATATATATTTGTTGCTTGCATTTTGTATTAGTGTTGGTATATGACATAATAATTCCCCGAGAGAAATTTGGTATTGTTATCAGCTGATTCCATTCATATTATAACATGTTTCAGTTTATACTTTGTAATTTAACAGTATAATCCACTCATGATGATTTAAAATTTCTAATTTCATGGCCTTTGCTATGTGGATTCAACTCTTGTGCTTTGATTACTTCATTACAATGATAATGATCCTACACAAAACCTAGTAATCATATTTTTTTTGGCTGTCAGTGAAGTTTCTCATCTGATTTGTCTTTCCGTTATTCTAACATTTTGGCTTGTTTAGAAGTTTATATGCTTTCTTGGTTCTGATTATTTCCTGGAGATAGTTTTGAGTTATAATGCCTTCATAGTTCATACAAACATGTTGATTAACATAAGTTCAGTATCACAATAAGGCACGCATGTTTAGAGGATAAGCATCAACCTTATCTAGTTCATTCTAATTTTTTTTTTTCTTGATATTCAGTGTGAGTTGTCCTTGAGTAGGATAATCATTATGTTACATTGCCTTTTTTTTCAGATAGTAAGTGCGTTTGGACTATATATCTGGTGTGCAGCATCTGATCCAGCGGACCCAGGAGTTTTCAGGTCTAAGAAGTACCTTAAAACAGCATGCAAAGGTGATCATACTGAAGCAAAGGACTTAAAACTAGGAGGGGAATCTGCTTCATCTAAGCAATTTGTGATTTCTGGGGAGAATGGTGACAAACATCATGATGGAAATGTCAAGAGCACAGATGTTAATATGGAAGATTTTGATGCTGAACATGAACATAATGTTAGATCATCAAGTTGTTCATCTTGTGTTTTGGGAGTATTGCTCTATCCCTGTACTTTTCTATGCAACTGTATGAGCTCATCTGAAGAGTCTTCTGAGCGGCAAGCAAGTGAAGATGGAATGTTCTATTGCAGTTTATGTGAAGTCGAGGTATCTTCAACTACTTGAATTCAATTGTCATTTTCTCCTTACACTTGCTCTTTAACTTGAGCTAAAATGCTATTGAAAAGTTTAAAAATGTTCTCATGCTTTTTTACATTATAAAAGTACCGCTTTTCAATTGGATATGCACATTCTAGTGAACTGCAGGAAGTTTGTGTTTATAGTTATGAACTTATGAAATCCCCTTAATGGTCTTTACTTTTCAATTATCCTGCTATGATTTAAATGATGTCTATGATGTAGGTGTTCAAGTACAGCAAGCATTGTAGAGTTTGTGATAAATGTGTTGATCGTTTTGATCACCACTGCCGGGTATGTGAGAGGCTTGGAGCATTTATACCTTACAGTATTTGATTTCTTAATATTGCCTTGACAAGCTTTTCATTTCTGCATGTATTCTTGATATGCAGTGGCTCAATAACTGTATAGGTAAAAGGAACTACCGGAAATTTTTCACTCTCATGGTTGTGTCACTTCTATTGGTAAGTAGAAAGCATCCATCACTGGTGTATAGATATCTGACAAAGAATATATTGCTTGTTGGTATCATTGAGATTACATTTTTTCCATTTGACAATCAAAATAAACTTGTTTTTTACGTGGTTTCAAATTTTAGACTTACACTGTTATTGGGAGATCTTAATCAAGCAGCTCAATTATCTGAAACAAATTATCCAAAAATTCATGCAGAAACACTATTTTGAAACTGAAAACCCAAGCTATTTAAATTAGCCCTGATATATAACTGGGCATAAGTCAATTAAAATGGCAGCTTGTATCTTGAATAACTAATTTCTGAATAAATGATTTCTGAAACTACTGAACAGTATTTAACACTTCTGATTCTGGAGTTTCCTTAACTATTTTGGATTGAAATCAGGCAAGGAATTTATGAAACTATTGTAATTATGGATGAGAGGGGCAACTTTACCATTAACCTAGAGACAGCTTTTTCTTACAAGTTTCAATAATTAAAGACCTTAGGTCACCTGTGTTTACCAAACCAAATCCGTGTCAAAGAAAAAAAAAAAATAGCATTTATTTTCATGTCATTTTTATTTTAGATAAATATTGACAGGTGTGTGCATGGCATGTTGGGCTTTGAGATTGCAGCTAATTCTTCAATGGTCAACTGGGATCCTTGTCTTGATTTGCACTTTTCTTGAGAGGAAGAAATTCAGTACTGAGATTGTTGCAAAGCTGGGAAGCAGTTTCTCTATGGTGCCATTTATTATTGTAGTGGTTAGTACCTACTTTTTTCAACGTAATTTTTTCCTGTGCTGTTTGTCAGCTTACACTAGTGTACATACAATTATTACATTGCTGATATGGGGTTTACGGAAAGGATTTTTGTAGTTTGTAGTTCACTTGTGGTAGTGCTGACCATCTCTCTTGGATTATGCTATAATTTTGTAGGCCATGTGCACCATTTTGGCTATGATAGCAACCCTACCACTGGCTCAGCTTTTCTTCTTCCACATTCTCCTCATAAAGAAGGTAAAACTGACAGCTCTTGCTTTTCCTCTTGCTATATTATTGGAACCCGTATCATGATGAAGGAAAAAAAATTGTTTGAAGTATTAATCTTTCAAATACGTTGTGTCTAGGGGCTTAGCACATATGATTACATTGTAGCTCTGAGAGAGCAAGAACAACAAGAAGTTGGGGGTGGACAGAGTCCTCAGATGTCTCAAGTTAGCTCCCTTACTGGATTAAGCAGTGCTAGTTCGTTCAATACTTTCCGACGGGGTGCATGGTGTACACCTCCACGGTTGTTTCTTGAGGATCAGGTAATTTTTATGAGATGCTCCTTTTAAAATTGGCAGCTTGTGACCATGAACCTCACAAGTACAACTAGCTGACTATCGTAGACTTTCATTCCTCGAATCATCCTCCATCAAAAATAATTGAATAATTATATTGCTGCCATATCGTTGACATTCAGACTTTTGTATACTAAGCTCAGTGATAATATAATACTCAAGCTATTAATTTTATGTTAATGGTTGCATTGTCTGTGTTGTTATCAGTTTGATGTAGTTCCTCCAGACACTGGATCTGTGAGTTCCTATGGCAAAAAGACTGCTATAGAGGAACCGATCAAGAAAAAGAATCCTGCAGTAAAGATCAGTCCATGGACATTAGCACGCTTAAATCCTGAAGAGGTTTCAAAGGCTGCTGCAGAGGCAAGGAAGAAATCAAAGATTCTGCAGCCTGTGATAAGACGTGAGGGCCCAATCAACCTTGAACAGGACAACAGTTTTGGCAGTGGCCGCCGGATAATCTCCAGGCTTGACCACAGCAGAAGGCGAAATAGCAAACGGGTTCGACTGCCATCTGATCTTCCCATCGAGCAGCTTGTGAATGTATCCGCAAAAACAGCGAAAGCATCATCCAGCAGCTTGGCTCCTCTCCAGCTAGAAGCAAGGAGTGCCTTCCGAACTAGCCTGGCCATGTCGAGTGGAGCTAACATGGCTGGCTCCTCTCCTGAGAGCAGCTCGCCTGATGTGCATCCATTCCGTCACTCCTCTTCTGGAGCAGAAGAATCTAGAAGGCTTACTGGTTTGTCAGTGGCTGGTGGAGCTGTACTGCCTGGGATGCCACTGTCAAGGTCGACCAGTGATGGGTATGAACCTTCTGGTGGAGAAGATAGTGACCAGGTTCCTTCAAGGCCAGTTGAAAGAACAGTGAATTGGAGTAGTTTACTTTTCAAGTCAAACCAAGATGGAGGAATGCTTAGTCTTAAGGGACCTTCAGCTTTTAGCCAGGGCAACCTTAGAAAGTTCTGAAGGGATGGAATTTAGTGAATATGATGATTTGTTTTTTAGGGTTTTGGAGGGTGAATATCTTTCATTTGTGAGTTTGATAGCTCGCTTATGTCCTGAGAGTTGGTTGGTCAATGGAGGTAAGCAGACACGAAGATGCATGAAATGCAAGATGGATGGAACACAAGTTGCTGGACTTAGAAGGCATTGTGCAGGATCTAACTTCGAGTGGTCATGCTATTTTAGCGAAGTTTTTGGAAAAAAAAGCCAGGTTAATGTTGCAGAGCATATTGTATTTACCTGCATGTGTTTAATTTTGCTAGAAATGTCTTGGCAATTTTTCTGGCTGTCTTCGTTGTTTGCAAGTGAAACTTTTCAGATCTGTGTAGCACCATGAAAAACGTCAAGATAACTTGAATTCTTTGATTACATTATTCCTCCGTGACTTGCTGTTTCTATTAACATCAAGGCAATTTCACCTCTGTTTAAACAAAATATTTTGTCAAATTTTAGTTACACCCTAGCAGGATGTTACTTGAGGAATATGTTCACAGAAATAAACAGTAATCTGCAGAAAGTAAATCCGTAATATTAAACTGAATGATTGATTTTTATATAATTTTTAGTATGTATTTAATGCTTATATGTAGCTTTAAGGGTTGTGTATAGTATTTTCTTAAAAAAAATATCTGAACATGCTCACTAAAGCCACTTAAAAAAAAATCTGAATATGCTCACTATAGCCACTTAATACTACTCGTATAAATTACACCCTTTAAATGCATTCTCACTAAAAATACTCTGCGCTGTAGAGACAAGAATCGAGCTGTAGTAGAAAATCTTAATCAAGTCATCAATGAAACTACTAATTAATTGTGCCACTCTTTTATGAAAGGAGTCCATGCATAGCCCAACCCAGGTGACAGGGCTAGTAAGCCATTCATATATTTCTTAGATTTTATTTTAAATAAAATAATCATGTGGCCTGTGTCCATGAACAACCCCATGGCCTATCGGCGTGCCTCTCATGCAGTGTCAAGCTTATGATGAGTTCACATCACGGTAACCAAGCCCATACTCTTCTAATCAACTTGCTCATCCAAATCGTCCAAGACTCCAAGTGATCAAATTTAACTATGAAATACGTGGTAGATTATAAGTAAATGGATTTAACAAGTCCTGCTCAATTAAAATTGACTATTTTAAAACGTAATAAATGAATTAGATTACTTGTTAAACAAATTATTAAAGTTCTAGCTAAAAATCTTCCCAGCCAGTTCTAGCTAAAAATGTTCAATTAAAGTTGCACATTTATGTATGGAACATTGGAATTACTTATTCAACAAGTTATTATGTACATCCATTGATCTTATAACATAAACTTCATACAAAGTAATTCTTACATTGTCTCGATTTTTTTTTTTTACAGAAGTTACAATCAAGTCTATTACTTTCACACCTGACTATGGATATAGCATCAGTGATACAATGAGATAATGGAGAACTGCTAACAAAAGATATAAAGATTTAAGGGGAATAAAAAAAAAGAGCTAAACTATAGTCGATTAGACAGCATATGAACAATGAACGCTACTGCAGAAATGAGCTAATTTTGGCAGAGCAATACTTTAAAGGAGACTTGAATTTGGTAACACCAAACTATCATCAGCAATTAGAAACATGCCACCCCTCGCAAGTCGCAGATCAGTCCTGGAGAAGTGCACATTTGGTTAGATATAAAAGCTGAGATGATATGGAAACGCAAAAACTAGTGAAATCGATAACACGTTCAGTCTGCTCAATTGCTACAAAAAAGAGAACCTTGTTTCTTACACTTGATGGAATGAATTTTTGAAAGCTTGGTGCTCCTACAGTACACCCCAGCAAATATTCTAATACCCCCTGTCCCTATAAAATGCTCTATAAACCACATTTAATTTGGATCATCTTTAACGAATTTAACTAAAATTTCATTACATTCATAACTATCCTTCATAATTTAAGCTTTTACAGTTATGAGTGTAATCTTTCTTTGAAATTCTTATAAGGCTATCGGCTATCATAATGGGTATTATGGGAAAGGTCAAACTTTAACATACTAAATTAAGACAGGCCTGATTTTTTAGGACAGACGGGCTAAAATAGAAATGTAGCCTAGTATTTTGGATGGAGAAATAGGTGCACAAGGATATACAGCCGTAGGCAAGGCTGCAAAGATAAATTAAGACATAGATAGTGGCTGTTCTCCCAAATAGGGTTCAAATAGCAAACCATCATAAATAATCTCTGCAGTAAAATGCATTTACAAAGAGTCAATGCATACAGGTTTCTGGCACAAGAATTAAATTGGCAGAGCTCCAACTAGTTCTCAAAAATTGGCTAAAATGGGCATGAAACTTTATAGAGTAGACCCTACAATATGAATTATGGCTTTTCAAAAAGTATTACAAGGGTTATGGCTTTTGTGGTCCATATACTCTGCTCTGGAGCCCTCAGCTCCCAAAATTAGTGTTATTCCAGCTTGTGTAGTTTAAGACAATTTCCAACTCAAAATTTTTCAAAAAGATACCAAAAAGTTTGAATCAGTGATAGATAAACTGCATAGAAGGGGAAAGTTGGTTGAAGGACATCATCACCTTGCCAATTTGTCAGCCTTCAGAAATTAGCAGCTGAAGCATAACACCCAGAATACACCAAGAAAGTTGGAAGCTAGTTCCTGCAAAGCTTTAGATTTTTGACCCATAATAAAGTTGAAAGAAACCATCTAACAAAAATAAGTTTCACACGATGACGATCATACCATTTGTTTCTAGTATTGTACATCCAGCATTTTATACTAGACTGCTAGAACATATAACGTTTAGGCCATAAGTTCCCTGAGAGATTTTTACATGTACTTGTATGCACATTGAGGAAGGTGGAACCCAAAAATACTTATAACTCATTTGATTTTATTTTTATTTTTTTCATTTGAGAAAAAAAAAGGAAAAAAAAAGTTAAAGAAAAGGAAAATTCTCAATGGTAGCTCTAAAGTCTTAAACAATTGCTACACTGAAATGGTAACCCTCGCTTAAATTCTACATGGTGGCCTCCAAGATTGGAAAATTCTATTGGGTGAATTTTTTTTTGGCCATCGTTTCTAGTGACCCTCTATATTTGATTAACTCTATATAGTGTCAAATTCTCACTAAAATGGCTAACCCATTAGTTTATGGATAGATTTTTAACCTAAATAAATTATACTCCCTCCATCCCACATTATAGTTCCTATTTTTCTATTTTGGAAACCCCAATTGTTGTTCCTATTTCTATTTTTGGATAATATGTAAAGACCATTATACCCTCATTTATTTTAACTTTATTCATTGAACTTTCTAAATTAACTTTGAATTTTCCACTTGCCTTGTACTTTTTTCCACTTTCTCTCTGACTTTTGTCTATAATTGTACTATTCACTTTTTTAAATGTACTTCATCCACTTTTTCCTCTCATTTCTTAAATACCGTGAAAAAACACAAACATGAACAATAAATTGGGATGGAGGGAGTATTACTAACCTACCCCTTAGTTAACACAATACCACCACCACCGATGACCCCACAATCATCCAGCCACTAAGCCGCCACCAACATTGACCCCACAACCATTCAGCTACCACCACCACCCCGAAAACCCAGCCAATTCCACCACCCAAATCCACCCCTTCACCCGTAACCAACCCCACTACCCAAAAACCACCTACTCGGCCACGAATCCACCCCTTCATCCGCTTCGTTTTACAGCCATCTCCCTGCCATCAAAATCGATTTCGGGCTTTTGGGGTGAAAGTTCCGATTGTTGCAGTGTGTTTGGGCGTTTGCCGGCTTAGATGGGTGGTTGTGGGACTGTTGCGGTTGTGTATGGTGATGCTGGTGCAGTGGGAGGAGGGTGATGCTTCGGTGGTGTTGAGCAGTGAGGGCAGCAGCAGGTGCTGCGTGAGAAAGAGAGCTAGAAATTTATTTGGGGGTAGGTTAGTAATTTAGGAGAATTAGGGTTTAAAATGAGCCAAAAATCAGAAATAGCTAGCTATTTAATGAAATAAGATCACTAAATAGATTCATACCATATTAGGAGTCACTAGAAACTATGGCCAAAATTTTTTTCCACCAGATAGAATTTTCAAATCTTGGAGGCCACCACATAGTATTTCCCTTTATTTATTTTACAAAATGTCCCTAATTATAATTTTTCTCACCTATGACATTAATAAGGGTTTTATTTAAATTTTGTGATAAAAGAACAAACTATGGTTAGGATTAAAAAAAAAAAAAAAAAAACACTCCTTCCTCCCTCAACCTCCCTGGCAAAGATTCTAAAGATCACCAAACAAACCACTGCTGACAACCCCTTTTATCCAACAAACTCTCCCTTCTTCCCCTTCCTCTGTTTTTTCTCTCCCCTGTTCAGCAATGGAGATTTCAACTTTCCTACAAGAAAAGAAATACCCCTTCATCTTCATCCTTTCTCTCCTCTTCCTCTCCTTCACTTTCCCCCTCATCTCTAATTCTCATTCCTCCTAAAATAAGGCGGTATAATGCGAAAGAAATCTGCCAAAAACACTACCCACCATCAAGATGTTAAGAATCCAATGAGGAAATGCAGCCGACCACAGAAGTCGGGTGCCTGTGAGGAGATGTGGTCGGTTACTGAAGCCAAAACAAGAAAGGGTAAAGGTGGGAGCAAGAGACGGTGGTCCAAGTGGTGAGTTCGTCCAGGGTGAGGCCCATTGTGGTGGATGTGGGGGTTGGGGTTTTGGGCCGGGTAAGGGTAAGGGTAAGCATGGGGGTTGGGGTTTCGGGTCAGCTATGGTTGATCCATGGAGGAGAGAGGGAGGGAGGAAGAAGGTGGAGAGTGAGAGTGATTGTGGTGGTGGTGGCAACGGAGGAGGATGTAAAGAGGTTGTGTGAAGTAGAGAGGTGATGATGGCAAGGGCATTTAACTAATTTACTTGTTTATTTTAATCACAGTTAACATTTGCATGAAATCTAATTCAATGAGGTCTCACTAATGTCATAGGTGAGAAAAAATTGTAATTAGGGTCTTCTTCTTCTTTTGCTTAAACACCTTAATCCCATTAGTGGGATCGGCTACATGAACCAACATGAGAACTTCACAGAAGGTCACCCATCCTAACACTACTCTCAATCATTGTGGCTCATGTCAAGCGATATGACAAAGTTTTACACTGGCTGACCTATCGTAACCCTCCTCCTTTATCCAGGTTTGTAATATTATTTAGGGTAATTTTGAGAAATAAAAAAATACAAGGATTACCATTTCAGTGTAGCAATAGTGTAGGGTTACCATTAAAAATTCCAAAAAAAAAAAAAAAAAAAAAAAAAACCCTTGGGTGCACCTAACTCTAGGTACACTCGAGTGCATATATAGAATTGCGTCCTAAAATCATGTAATATCTTTAACTACAGATTTGAGACAATGTAAAAACTAATATTGAGCAGGGGTAGTATAAAGTGTTGAATCTTACACAACAGCGTTCATCCATGTGGAAAAAGATAGTCCACTTCACAAATCTATCCCAGATGAAGAATGGAGCTAAGATAAGAAATCTAGGATTTGGCATTAACCCAAAGGTTATAGAAAGACAAGAAAGCAGCCATGCATGACGAGGTGGAGTAGACACAGAGTGATGCCTTGTGTACTCATGTAAAACGTAATATGACTAGTATATATTGCCCTGTGCTGCTGAAAGAGAAGCCAAACAATTGATCTACTAGCAAACTAGTAACTGTCGCTCTCTCTTTCACTCACCAAGAAACCTAATAGACCAAGTAGAAATTAAAATCATGAAGTTCTTAAGTGAACTATCTCAGCCAGTATTCCAAACAAATGCAGATACATGACCTACTCCCTCAATTCCATCAATTTCTACCCACTTTCCATTTAGGGTCATTCTATGAAGCTATTCATTTTTGCTGAGGAAATACTTGTAATATCATTTTACCCCAACTTGGCCCACTTTTTGGGACCACTTTTCTTATCACAAATTATCTCTCTAAAGAGTAATTACATATACCAATTTACTGTATTAATTATCCTTAGTATGTGTATCTACAATAAAAGGGAAGAACTTCGTGGAACAAAGGGAGTATTATACATCCATTAGCATGAGCAAATATGTTCGTAGTTGTACAAAAAATAGCATCAGCTAGTTCACTGAATTATGCCCTAAACAGTCTTAACTTCTAATGGCACTCCAAGCTGATGATTTCTCTAGTCAAAGGATGCAGATTGCAAAGGCATTTGATCTATCAAAAACTAAAGGATGCTATAAATCAAGATAATAAACTCATTTATGACAAACTGGTTGAACTCCAAGACATGTTGAACATCTTACTTTAGCATACAAAGAGAAATCTGTCTATCATTGTTAGCCTCCGCTGATGGGGATGTTCATTAACAGCAATTTAACTTGTGCTAAGGATAATCACCAAAGCAAAAGCAGCAGCAACGTGTAATGCAAATGTGGACTACAAACGAAATTTGGAATATTTTCTTTTTCATACGGATTATTTCGGAATGATGGCTAAGCAACATCAGTTTTGCTACGTAATCTAATTAGTTGAGACTACATTCATACATTAAAGGGGTCAACATATTCAGGCATCCATAAAAATCTAAATATCCTTCCTTTTCCAACAATTCCTGAATGAAGCAATATAACAAAGATTAAAGAAATTCTAACCAAAAATTACTGGATTAGCATAAGACTGAATTCAAACTAACCTGAAAGGAAGAAACTAGCTTAATGCACATAACAAACAATGTGAGGGACCTTCTGATCATCAAAGGGCAAGCTAACATAATCAGCAGCAAACTCATGAGCAATCTCCCTGGCTAACTCGCCGTGCAAAGCCTTACAATAGATATACAAAACCGTAGCGGCAGCAATTCCATGAAGCAAAAGCACCGTTAAAACAGCAGTAGTTGCCATAATTCTAACAGCAAAGGCCCATGTATTCCACCCATCCTCCACTGCAATGGAGTCGCCCCCGGAAACCAAACTGATCCACAACAACACGAGCTCGAAAAAGCCGAAGAATACAATCAAAGACAGTGCCACCCATCTCATCCCTCTCACCAAATCCTTGCTTCTAGCCATGGGTTGAAACCCCCATTTTGATTCAACCACAACAACCACATTAACCAAAATCCAATTCACCCCAACATAAACCAAAACTAACCCTAATAAAACCGCCCCAATTAAAGAAATCCCATAAAAGTAAGGAGAATTATACGAAAATTCACCTTCAATTACCTCAATTCCCTTGACACCCAAATAGCCAAAAACCCCAAACAACGCAAAAATCAGAAAAATCACAATCTGGGCAGCAATAAAAGTAACCAAAAGAGGGAAAAACGAGCGAAGAAGAGAGGCTATCGCAGAAACAAGCTTAACGGGTCTGCCATAGAAGCCATGAAGAACAGAGAATGTAATCGACCCAAAAGCGAGGAGGGAGAAAAGGAGAATAAAGGCAGAAAAGAGGAGAGAGAAAACGAGGGTTTTATGGTGGGGTTGATGAAAAGTGGGGTGGAGAAGAATCGGAGGTGCGGCGGAGTTATGGCGGAGGAGGGAGACGATGCGATTGGGTTGAGGGGAAGTGAAGGTGTGAAGAAGAGTAGGGAAGACGGAAAGAGAGAAGGAGAGAGGAAGAAGGAAGAGAACTGAATGGGCTAAGAAATGGCGGGAGTGAGCATTGATTATGCGTTTTGATTCGGTGATTACTCCCCCGAAATCTACCAGAGATTGGGATGAATTCTCCATTGTTGTTTGCTTGAGAGAGGAGAGAGAAAATGAAGGAAGGAAGGAAGGAAGAAAGAAAGAAAGAAAGAGAGAGATATTGAAGGTGTTGGGAAGAAGAGTTTTGATGAAAATTGAATTGGCGAAGAATGATTAACAAATCTCAGAGTGAGATGATGGATATGGCGGGGGTGGCGGTGCGGGGTCCACCTGTATCTGATTCGGTATACTCGAATGATCGGATTGGGTTTGGTGATATCAGGTTAATTTTAAAGTTGAGTATTTGAGTCCTACTCCGTACTAAATGATTGTGTTCATGCGAATTGAAATTTGAATCAAATTATTATTGGGTCGGGTATGGTATTATACCTTTCTATGCAATTGAGATGTTTCTTTTATCATGCTTGTCAATATACTCCATATAATTTTAAGTTTTATCGTAAAAATAAAGCATAAAAGAAAGTGTGTCAAAGTATTTCAACTAATTGAAAAGGCAATTTATCAATTATTTTAGATTAAAAATTTTTGATTACCCCAACAAAAATAAAAGATGAGATTTGAATTACAAGTATTAGTTATGATTTATATTATTTTTTTAAAAAAAAATTCAATCTCAGGTTGTGAGTCGTGAGATAACAACCATCCTAAAATTGCAAATTAGCAATTGATCAAATGCATAAGGGCATCCAATAAATTGCTTCTATATTAGATTTATTTGTCATATTTTAAATTGGTTTTCACTAGTCTAAAACTTATCTAATATGTACTTATTACTCGTATAAGTTATTTTAGTGGTAATTTCAAAATTGAATAAACCCTTTAAAGCTTTTTATTCTAAACTTACTTTATCATACTTATCTTTTTTGATATAATTAAAAATACGGTGAACACAACTGAACAGTCAAACACAAGGTTTAATATAACGGAGTATTTTACTTTGTATATTGCTTAGTTTTCAAAGCACGAATGTAAATATGTAATGTCAACAACTGTTACACATCTCGGGTTCATAAAGCATACCAAGTACTTTCCTTGATGACTAATGAGTGTCAACAACTGTTACACATCTCGGGTTCATAAAGCATACCAAGTACTTTCCTTGATGACTAATGAGATCACTCAAACTACTAAAAGCTAAAGATTTAACAAGGAGAACAATTAAAATTGCTGAAAAGGGTTTAAGTACGCATTTTCATTAGAATTGTCGTGTACATAACTAAATTGTCATCGCAATAAAAGAAAATAATAATGGCAAAAACTATAGTAAAAATTCCACAATAAATTGATGAAAAGAGCAAGATCCAAAACAAAAATCACTAGCAAATGATCACAGAAGAATAAGGCTTTCCTCGTATGTAATTAATTGATTAAGAATACCGGTTTTTGTAGGGAGTGGCTTAAGTTGTTGATTATGAGGATCAGACGTCCATACTAAATCTTTAGCTAACAACGATGAATCCTCATTGTCATCGTCTTCATCGTAGTATGCTCCATAGAGGAGTTGGCGGAACAACCAACCCTTCTGTGTCTGCACTTCAAACAAAAAAGTCCAAGAACTGGTGTTCCTGTATGCCATCTTACACCACAATCTTATGCTTAGGAATAAGTAGGATCATTTAGAATCACATACCCCATTATGTCACAAATCGCGAGCATGTTCTTGTAAACAAGGGGTTGGTAACGCCGACCTTGACCTTTGTATGGTTGCATCTGCGTTGGTATTAGGTCGAAGTAGTACAACTCCTGCCTGTCGACATGGAAGCACACCATTATACGATAATTATCCGACCAATGTATTACTGCCTTGCTTTTCTCACTGGTATAAGCCACCTGTAAGTTGGACAATTAGTACCATTCAATGTGAAAAAAATCGTAATGTAAAACTTTATAAATATAGAGATTTTATTTGGTATCTAAAGATTTGGTATGAGCCACTTTCTATAGATTTTCAAACATCATACCTTGCAGATTGAATTTTGAAATAGTCGATTTATTTTTTTTGTATTGAAGATTAATGTTCCAAAATAAATACGGAGTAATTAACAACAAAATCTTACCTGGTGAAAAGCTCCATTGAAATAAGTCCCGGAGTCATCTTCTGTTACAAGGCATCCCCAATATTTAAGTTTTGCTCTGAGTCTGATTTCAGTCCAAGAACTCTTCCTTAGAGAGTAAAGGAAAACACGATCCTTGTTGTATTCATCTGTGGTGATTACGATAATCTTGTGATCACGATCATTGGAGGCATATCCAAATCCCATCAACATACTCATCGTTTTGTATCTATCCCTTGAAGGGACCTGTAATGGATGGTCCACCCTCTTATATTTCCTAATAGAAGGGTTCCACAAAAACATGAAGTATTTCTCTTGCATCCATCTGCTTTCTGGCACATAATATTCTCCGTTGGGATGAAAAAGACACCCCATGGGATGATCCAATTATTTTCGTTTTCCAGAAGTTTCCAGGTTCTCGATCTTCCAGAGGAAGATGGCATGGTAAAGGCTCTTTAGAAGTGAGGAATTCATCAAAAACCCAGAAACAATCTGTGGTATTTAGTGGAAATATATTTCAAGGTATAAAACAAATCAAACGACGAGGATGAGTGTTATTTGAATTCAGGTGACAAAGCTGAAATTCATGGCTGTGGGTAATGGGAGTGTACCAAGACTTGCAAACGCTTCGGAATCTCAGCAAGGATTTCGAGGGGAGATTTGGTAGAATCTGGAGAATTATGTCTTCTGGTATATGAATATGATAAGCAGTAATTGTAGTTTCCATGATGATTTCAGATAAATGGGAACCTGTTAAACGGCTCATTTACCATAAACCACCAATATATATAACTTATCAAAAATTCCTAACAAAGGATATACACAAATATATGCACAATTATATATCTTATTTACACAAATATATCATAACAAAGCGTATTGTAATCCCAAAAACCAATCTTAAACGCGTACGAATAATACGTTCAACATGTCATTTAAATCTTGTAAATGGACTTCAAATCATCACAAACTCACTGCAATAAAAATTTGTAAGCACATAATACCAACTTGTATAATTAAAGCCTAAAGAATCCTAATAACAATATTATTCAATTTCAAGTATATTAATTTTATATCTTCTATCAAGTTAGCACCTACTGCCAAAGATAAGCCTAAAACATCCCCTTCCCAATCTAAGCACAAAATCTAAGTTTTATGGATAAAAACAGATAGAGTCCTTAGTTTAGCTGAAACTTATCATATCAAAATTGGCCTGGCTTGAAATCATCCAGGTTTGGACAGAATTCTTGGGCCTGATTCTACGTGCCAGATCAGTACAATAGCATGCTCTGGATCATCCCGATTTAAGCGGGTTTTGCATGCGTTTTTCGGCCTAAAAGTGGTTTGCCCCAGCCCCTAGGCTTGAAGCGGACCTTTTTTGTTAACAGTATTCCTATACTTATAACTTTTACAGGTACATCATAAATTGTTCGAGCATTAGCTTCGACTTTTGACTTCATCTCTGTAAGCAAAACTGTCAACATTATTAACAAAGTTTACTACGTATCAATTTTCATCTCCTCCTTCCCCTTCAATAAAAATAAAGGATGCCCCTCTTCCCCTTCCCTTTGACGTTAAACCTTTCTATTCGCAGATATGAATCATTATAGCAGAACATTGGACTAATTCTAGACACAATGAACAGTCGTTGCCAATAAAGATGGCAAGATTATGTTTAGACCAAGAATTTGGATATAGAACAAATTCAATCTTCTTTTTTCCCTTCTCCGTTTTACACCACTAAGACTATAAGTCTATAACCTCAACAGGATTACCATTATTTTAAATTACCCTTTAAACCCTTTTTAACACCACAACATCTTCAAAGCAACCCAAAACCAACAGCATTTATTCATGAAATTACAGCAACAACCAAACCATATTAGCCATAATTTCCCATTATTAACCTTTGTCCTTTTTTTATTTCTCTCTCACTAGTATGAGCATGCATCATTTTCAAGTTGATGTGGGATGATATCCCACTTTACTTGGAACTACGTAAGCAACTTCCTCTAAGTAAGATTTCCCAAAAAGTTACACTTCCTGTGGTTCCCATTTTATCAACCAAACTCAAAGATTTCCTACTTCCCAATGGATGGTTTACATATATGGTAAACTGTACTACTTAGCCAACCTAACAACCCCCATATATATAATATAAATATAATGCTCCAGTCAATAATTAGAAAAAAGATGCAGACAACAAAGAACTTGAACAAGTACTAACCGCATCTGTGACATAGGGGCAAGGAACAAAGGTAAAATAAAATATCTTACTCGTACTTTGTCTGCTTAAGGCAAAACTCTGCAAGGATTGAACATAATTTTCCACTGGCATGCAGAAGCCGATGTAGATGATAATGGATATTGCGTAAAGTAACTTTTCAAACAAGAAGTTAACTTCCTCTCGGAAAAATTACCTGTCTTCTGCAGGAGGCAGAGACCAAAGCAATATTGTACCTATCACTGCAAGTTAGTACTACAGGCCTGTCGACCAGAAAGCATTGGAGACTACTATCAATATAAGTCTATCAACATAAGTCTATCAGCATAAAAATATTACTAGTTAGAATTGTAAGCCTATCACCCGATAAATTATTGAGACTTCTATCAAGATAAGTCTTAGGAGACTAATACCTTAAGAGAACATTTCGAATCAATAGGAGTATAAGATCATTTTTGTCAAAGCTGGCTTTGTAGTTGTTTGTGCAATGTGCATAGTCAATCCATAGTGCATAACATTATCAATTCATCATAAGAAGACGCCTAAATTCTGTAATAAGTTTACCATGTAAAATTGCAAAATTTTAGGAAGCAGCGAGAGTATGAAGAAAAACACTGTGGTTCATTAATGGTTTACGTTCACAGGATCAAGCACAGAACAATCAGATGCTAAGGTAACAAGTATAATAAGAGAAACCATCATAAATCCTGGATCAAGGAGGTATATCTGCTTATGATAAAGAGATCAGCAACCCTCATATTCACTTAATGTTAGATTGGAGTCAACTTTAAACAAAACTAGGAAGCATGCTACAAGAAAATTGAGCATAGATAAAACTATGAATGTAGCACATCGAATAACATTATTTCAGGGATAACTAGGATTTTATTGCATTATCAATGGAGACAAATAAAACATACATGTATACCAAATCGATCTTGGGGGAAAGCTACATTCTAGTTACCAAATACCCAGAATGTAAAATAATAAGATGTATAACTTAAACCTAGAAAAACATTAGTTACCGATTTTCAGCAGAAATCATTCCTCATGCACATCATCCTTTATGTTCATTGTTCACAGGTCACATAGTGCCGAGGCAGAAAGCCAGGCTTACAAAATTTGTATACTCAACAATCGAAACCATCGCTGGCATTCTACTACACGAGTCACAGCATCCTTTCCCCAAGATGTACTATCAGAAGTTCAATTCACTTCACCTTCTTTTTCGTTAGGTCACGAGATAGGTTACATTTGGATCTCAAAAGAGGCTTATGTCAAAACAAACCATTCAATTAGCTTGATTCTCATTATCAACAGGGTTTGCTTTCGGGGTTGCAGTAGCCATTTCTAAAAGTGACTGAGCTTCTTCATTAGCAGCCTCCAAACTATATGACCGACAGCTAAAGTAGAAAACTGCAGTCATCATGTAGTCAATAAGCACTACAAAGGAATACATGATCACCAAAAGTGGCCCTTCCCATATTCTAGATGACCCATCTCCATAGCTCAAAGTCTTCACCCTGTGCTCAAACAATCCTTGTACAAATGCCATCCCTATTGTCGACACCAAATACATAAGAAGCCCCACTTGAGTCTGACCTCTAATCAGAACAAAAGACCTCAATAATGCCTGAGGTCCAGAAGCATCCTCCAAGACCGAGATCACAACCGCAACATTGCAAAGAATTATAACATTTGCAAATACCACAGAGAAAACAAGCCCAAAAACCATGCCTGGGTAGACAACTAAATCCGGTACAAACCCAGATATCAAGAACACATTACAAACAGCAACAAGAATAACAATGAACAGAGTAACAACTCCAACAATCATCATACAAGCCCATACATAAGTCACAACAACCCGCCTCCATAACTTCCTAACAATCACACAGAACTTCGAGGCATCAAATTGTTTCTTCGAGTAAGTACAATCAACCGAATACACAACAGCCGCTTTCGATACAAGTGACAATGTGACATACAAAAAGAAGCACACAGCAGTAGAAACAGCTAAGTCAGCAAACTTTTGACATGATTGCTTAACAACAGGACTAAGAGGTAAACCACTAGCTCTAGCAATCAATGACAACCTAATACTCAATCTTCTCACAATAGTATGATCAACTAACAAATTTGACAACTGAACAGCAGATACAGGACAAATTAACAATGCTGCAATCCCCATAAATCCACCACAGTTATACCTCAGAATTCTCACTGTTTCTCTCAAAATCTGCAAAACACTCATTGAACGAAACTGATAATTCAATTGGGTACCCAAGTCAATTGGATTTTCCATCTGGGTATCTCTAGATCCTTCGATTGATAATCTCTCTAACCTGACTTTACCATCACAATCTTCCATTTCTCCCCTTTTAAAATAATTACAGAAACTAACAACTATAAAACGAAATCAAACCCAGATACAGTAATAAGTTAAAATAATCGGATCTTAAAATAGAAAGGAATTGCTTGCAGAATTAAGACAATTATAGATCTGGGAAACGAGACAAAACCCTAGAATTCATGGGAAAGTGAGAGTACGAAGAATATGGAGAACGTGAAGATTGAGCTGATGGGGAGGAAGAAGGGTGGAATTTGTGCAAAACGTGAGTTGGGGTTTGGAATTGAATGAAGAAAAAGGAGTTTTTTGTTATTGTAATGCTGTAATAGTTCCGAAAAAACAGAGAAGAACAGAGCACGTGTTTTTGTAAGTGTTGCGATTTCCAGTGAGGGGGTAAGCAAAGTGTCGGAAGGAATTGCCATTTGCGAATTTGTTTATGCATGACCCTTGAGTCCTTGACCAGGGTCTGTGGATGTAGTCTAGATCCTCTGTAGGAAAGGAATCGGATGGTTCGTAGCTCGGAAAATTATGGTACGGTTCAGGACTATTGGCTCGACGGCTAGCTATGAAGATTGGATATTCTATTTATTGTATTGTTTGATTGAAAATGTTTAATTTGGTTAAAGGTCATTTATCAAGAGTTAGTTTGAGAAGCATAATAAATAGAATTATCAATAATAAACGTTTACAATAACATAACTAATCTTGATTATTGATTGTTTAATTGAGTGGCATATTGACATGGTTTAGGTGGATCTTGTTAAAAATAGTCTTAAAAAATTATTTATGTTGATTAACATTTAGGGGGTGTTTGGTATGTGGGGTTATGAGGTGGAAATATGATTATTAATTATTAATCCCAAGTCTCCATAAACCCATGTTTGTTTGATGGTAATTAGATAAGGGAGTGAAAATAAGTTTGGGGTAATTTACCCTCTATTCCCACCATTTTATTATCTAGGGGGAGTAAATAATAAAATAGTGGGAATTCTCTAGCTAAGTAAAAGACATAATTGTCCTTAATTTTATAATGCATATCAAATTTTGAGATTTAAAACAAGGATATAATAGAAAATTGGGCATTTAATCCTAATTTTATTCCCACTTATATGCCAAACAAGAGATTGAGAATATTTGATAAATTTCCACTTACCAATTCCCATTCTCACTTCCACTATATATTCATCAAATTCTCATTTCCACGTGTCAAACACCCCGTTAAGGCCTTAATACTACCTACGGAGTATGGACTACTAAAGTAAAGATATAACTCAATAACATGCTTTCCTTTTGATATTAATACAATTTATCTGCGCTAATGCACGAGATACATTCCATATGAAAAGTATACTAAGATATTTTGGCTCCTTAATCTCTGATATATGACGATACTTCAAATACGAGCGAATTGGAGTGTATGCCCATGCATATTCTTCGCAGTAAATGACAGGCCTTCTAATAAGTTACTTCAAAATTCTAAAGTTTAACCCATCCTTTGTGGAAATCGTCTGGATTACGAGGCTTGCTTAACATATAGGCCGTTTTGACCGAGTATTGTCCATCCATGAGCGCTAGAGGTATTGAAAGGACACGTTTCATATCATACTCATTAACAGTGTCTGTAAATGAGCTCCATATCCTACTCCATCTTTTCCTAAACATTAAGATCCCTCACCACATTCAAATTTCCCTTCTTCCAAGAGGTAACATACTCTCAGGATGTAGGTGAAAATAACCTGAATAACTAACTCGAGAAGAATCTCTTTCCTTGTTGGGGTCAAAAATTTATACTCTCTCTTTTAGTTTTTTCTGAATTCTATATTTTAGAGCCATGAAAACTTTCCCTTTTAACCTTTCAACGATGGTTGGTAAGCCCAAATATTTCCCGTGATTATCATCTAGTCACATTGTTAATAATTCTAACATTTCCTGTTTTTTTTTTTTTATTATTATTTTTATTACACACACCCTTTTGCTAGCTAAAAGAGACTTCTGGCGATTTTCAAAAAAAAAAAAAAAAAAAAAAAAAAAAAAAAGCTAAAAGAGACTTCTGGCTTTTTATGCTGAGAATTTCAACTATCTTGGAGCATTCCTTTTTGGCTTTTGCAACGAGTAATCGGTCATCTGCAAAGAAGGAGATGGTGAGAAATATATAACATGACCATTTTTGCTAGCTTTGGTCCTGTGTATGTCCATCTCTCGAACCTTCATGCAATAAACTTGAAAAAGCATCTACAACCAGAATATATAAGTACAAGGAGAGAGGATCTCCCTGCCGAAGCCATCGGGTAGGAGTAACCAAGCCACAGGTACCACCATTTATATAATAAAAGAGTATCAAACACCTCCCAATTTTCATCGAAACAAATTTTTAGGAGCAATCTCCCACAAAAAAAAAAAAAGGAAAAAAAATTGTGTCTATCTTCCAATCATACCATTCCTCCCTCGTATTCGTATGAAACAATTCAAGAGCTATCAAATTTAACTTCTATGTTACATGGACTCGGATATCCATGTCCGACACAAGTATGTGTCCAAATGTTTGACTCGGCTATTTTGTGAAAAGATTACATGATTTTGAACTAAATAGGAAGTGTCTAAATATCATATTTATATCTAAGTGTCGAGGGTATAACATGAATACTAAAGCTTTGTTTGGTTCAATATTAGTAAAGGAAAGAAAGGGAAAGGAAAGGAAGGGAAAAGAAAGGAAGAGAAGGGAAAGGAAAGAAAATAAACTATATCATCCAATGTTTGGTTTGATATTAGTAAAAGAAGGGAATTGAGAGGAATCTATTGTTTGGTATGACATTAGTAAAGGAAAGAAAGGGAAGGGAAAACTAATTTTAAGTTTAATAGATTTAATTTCTTTCTTTCCTCCCAAATTCCTCCAATTTTAGGAGGAATGGAAAGGGAAGATTTTGTAAAGGGAGCTTTCCTTCCATTTCCTTGGAATCTATATTTTTCCTTTCCTTTCTTTTCCTCCCAATTCCTCCCAACCAAAAAGGTCTAAGGTGAAATAAAAATTTAACTTTCGGCTATTTCAACAAATGTTACTGAGCAATTACAAAATTCACCAAATGCCATCAACCTTTTCAAAATTCGATCACCAAATGCCACTGACAAATAGCACATTGACACCCCGTGCCATTAATGAGGTCTGGAAATTAGTTGGTCGTTACTGCGAAAATATCATTTTGCCCTTTAATGTGTTTAATGGCGCCATAAAGCACACTGACTCTCTGGTTCCTCAATTTTCAAGTATTAATGTTCTTCATCAACCTTGTTCTTCCTTAACCTCTCCCCTGTTCTTCGAGGTTTCAACATCATTCAAACCTTCAAATCTATGAACAAGGAAGAAGCGTACTGTAACCACTGAACGTCCCTCGCAACAAGATTGAAGCTTTAGCTGTTGTTGATTCTGGGCGAACCAAAAAGCGGTCACAAGTAGTGGAAGAAGTAGAAGGAAATCGCGAGTGCTGAAATTTTTTTTGAGGCCTTGGAGATAGCACGCAAGGTAATAATCTCTCTATCGATCTTCATTTCGCGTATTGGTTCTGGTTTTTTTTGCAAAAATTGAGTTAGGGTTAGGGTTTTCTCAAATGATCAGTGTAATGTGTTTATTTGAATTGACCTTTGTGAACTATTGTTAAAAATCATGTTCAAAACCTCATTTGTGGGTATGCATCTGGCAATGTGTGTATTGGTGTGTTAGGGTTTGTGTTTTTCACAGTATTTGAGTCCTAGAAATGAAATTTTGCGAGTTGATCAGGATATTTGTCTTGGTATGTGTTTGTTGATATGACTGATGTCTGTTGATGTTCAGTAAAGTATTATGTCATTTTGTTGTTCATTGGATGAGTACAGTGTGGCTTAATGTCCATTACAAAGATCAAGGCTTTGATGTGATGATTGAGGATACTGACAGAACTAATCTAATGGACTTGTATGAGTTCATGTCAAGAAAAATATGATCCTCCCTAAATACTTTAGTTTATCTGTACTGCCACCTAGAACTAATAGAAAGTTTGAGTTATGTGGGGATAGTCAAATGCTGAAAATGTGGGATTGGTATGAGGGTAGGGAAACAATAGAAGTGTTCTTAGAGGAAAGGGATAGTCCTAGTTTGGTGTTTAAGGATGTTGCAGCAAGTTGGGAAAAAAAGGTTAAGGCAATGGCTGAGAAGGAGAGAATGGATCAGGAAAAGGCCCAGAGGATGGCTGAAGAAGAGGATGCTGAGAGGGAGCTTATGGAACAGCGACGTTTTAAAGTTGCAGTTGAGGTTCCTATTGTTAACGATGATGACTCAAATATTGAGTATGTAATCGTGTTTGACACTCCAGTAGCTGATGAGGTTTTCCCTGGGGCATCTCAGCCTGAGGCTGAACAAAGTACTCAGGCCTCAACTCCACCTAAACACTCTCAACCAACTTCTCCTATGAACCAGCCCAAAACCATATGTTCTAGGAAGAAAATGACTCCTAGGAAAAGGAAAAGCACACCAAAAAAAAGGTCAACTCAAAGATCCCAACCTTCTCCTCAACCACAAACATCCTAACCTTCCCCTCAACCACAAACATTCCAACCTTCTCCCTGTCCACAAACATCCCAACCCTCCCCTTAATCACAAACATCCCAACCTTTTGCTGAACTAACACCAGTCTCACCACCAGTTTCTCCTGAACCACAGACAACACCAGTTTTATCTCAACCCCAACCTCCACCATCTACAGCAGCAACAAAAGGGAGGTAGATCAAGACTTAAGGGATGTAGGTCAAAAAAGAATGCTTCAAAAAAGGGTAATGCTGAGGGGGAAAGTATTACTTTAAGGAGATAAAAAAGGAACATAGCAACAACTGTTCATGTAAGTGAGGAGAGGTCTGATGAGTCTGGTAGTGATGGTGATAGTGAAGATGATGATTACATACAATCTAGCAGTGAAGAAGATGATGATGAGGCAGATATTGGTGACTTCATAGAGGATGAGACAGAAATAATACTATAAGAAAACAACTTAATTTCGACGGAAAAAATTCGTCGTAATCATTGAAAATTCCGTCGGAAGGTTCTGTCGCGAAACATTTTGTAGGAATTTCGCTTTTTCCGAGGGATTTCCCGTCGGAAAAGGATGTTCCGACGGACTTTCAGACAAATTTACTTCTGTTGGAGCTATGTTTGACTTGATTTGAGAGTCCGTCGCAAATTTTCGACGAAATATATTCTGTCGGAATATATCTCTTCCGACGGAAAATTCCGTCGGTAGGGGAGAGGTTTACGATGGAATATTTCGTCAGAAGATGGTAGGTTCCAACGGAAATTCCATTGGAAGAGATATAGCCTACGACGGAATATTCCGTTGGAATACGAGGAGTTTTCGACGAAATTTTTCCGTCGCCAATTTTCGACGGAATTTTTTTCTATCGCTACCTACCTTTTCCGACGGAAATTATCATCACAAATTCCGTCAAAAATTGTCCTGCTAATTTACCTAATTTATCAATTTTATTTGGGTTTACCACCATTCAAAACCTATACCTCTTGCACCTAATTCAAGATAAATTTGAATTCATGATTTAATTACAAAAATATTTACATATATATATATAAAATATTTTATACATTGTGTACAACCATACAAATAATCCAAATCAAAGTACATGTACTTTATACATATACAAATGCTAAGCTACAGCCGGAGTACCCTGCCCTGCACCGCCACTACTCGGGTCGTCATCCCTGGGGTCTCGAGGATGAGGTTGAATGGTAGAACATGTGTCGTTGCCGGGGAATTGACGCATCATCTCATCTCACCTCTCCTGGTTTGTCCTCTCTATTGCGGCCATTCAGGCTTCAAATCGAGCTTCCATCTCGTCTTCTGGTTGACTCCGGATTTCCAGCACCCTCTGCTCCACCTGCTCCTGCATCTGGGAAATAATGGAAGGCGTGTACTGCTATGAAGACGAGGAAACTCGACCCAACCTGTTGCCATAGTACAGCTCTGTACTTTGGCCAAGTCCCTTCACACGACCCTTCTTGTTGCGGCCACCCACAGTTTCCCAGTACAACTCATTCGGACTCTTCCGAATCCCTCGAGAGCTTGCTTCTTCAACTTTCTTCTGGTATTCGTCCTACATGATATACATATGAAAAAGAACACACAGATCTAAGTTAAAATAAGGTTTATGAACAAAATAGAACGAAGTAAGGCATAAATGACTTCTACTTTGCCCATTATCTTCATTTCTTAGCAAATGAACTCTTTCTTTCTCAAAACATGTCAATTATAGGTAGTTTTTGGTTTCTATGACTTGAAATTACAAACAAAAACCAAGTAACTAAGTTCTAGGAACTATTTTCATCAAAATTAAACCAAATATGGCTTAGGTGACTTCTACTTTGCCCATTTTCTTCATTTCTTAGCAAATGAACTCTTTCTTTCTCAAAACATGTCAATTATATGTAGTTATAGGTATCCATGACTTCACAACACAAAAAAAAAAAAAACCAAGTAACTAAGTTCTAGGAACCATTTTCAACCAAATTCATCCATATACGGATTTTCATCAAAATTAAACCAAATATGGCTTAGGTGACTTCTACTTTGCCCATTTTCTTCATTTCTTAGCAAATGAACTCTTTCTTTCTCAAAACATGTCAATTATATGTAGTTATAGGTATCCATGACTTCACAACACAAAAAAAAAAAAAAAACCAAGTAACTAAGTTCTAGGAACCATTTTCAACCAAATTCATCCATATACGGCCTAGATGACTTCTACTTTGCCCATTTTCTTCATTTTTTAGCAAATGAAATCTTTCTTTCTCAAAACATGTCAATTATATGTGGTTGTAGGTATCTATGACTTTAAATCACAAAAAAAAAACCAAGTAACTAAGTTCTAGGAGCCATTTTCAACAAAATTCATCCATATACGGCCTAGATGACTTCTACTTTGCCCATTTTCTTCATTTCTTAGCAAATGAACTCTTTATTTCTCAAAACATGTCAATTATAGGTAGTTTTAGGTATCTATGACTTGAAATCACCAAAAAAAAACCAAGTAACTAAGTTCTAGGAACCATTTTCAACGAAATTCATCCATATACGGCCTAGATGACTTCTACTTTGCCCATTTTCTTCATTTCTTAGCAAATAAACTCTTTCTTTCTCCAAACATGTCAATTATAGGTAGTTTTAGGTATCTATGACTTGAAATCACAAAAAAAAACCAAGTAACTAAGTTCTAGGAACCATTTGCAACGAAATTCATCCATATACGCCCTAGATGGCTTCTACTTTGCCCATTTTCTTCATTTCTTAGCAAATGAACTCTTTCGTTCTCAAAACATGTAATTATAGGTAGTTTTATGGTATCTATGACTTGAAATCACAAAAAAAAAAAAAAAAAAAAAAAAAAAAAAAAACCAAGTAACTAAGTTCTAGGAACCATTTTCAACCAAATTCATCTATATATGACCTAAATGACTTCTACTTTGCCCATTTTTTTCATTTCTTAGCAAATGAACTCTTTCTTTCTCAAAACATGTCATAATAGGTGGTTTTAGGCCTCCATGGCTTGAAATCACCAAAAAAACCAACTCCCTAAGTTTTAGGAATCGTTTTCAACCAAATTCATCTATATATGACCTAAATGAGTTCTACTTTGCCCATTTTCTTCATTTCTTAGCAAATGAAATCTTAGAATGTGTCGGCCATATGGTTGTTGTTAGGAACCGCTTCACTGAGCAAAGAAGCAAACCCATCAACACATCTGTGGGGCAAATTATACTCGCACTTTAGACTAGTAATTCTAGCAGCCATCTCTAACACAGACATTGAACTCCCTTCGTATAATGGTCTTTCAGAAGCCTTCAAAAAATCCAAAAAATGCTTAGCTTATGCATTAGGCTCCTCCTCTGATGAAACACTAGCCTGCTCGGAATGCCCTTGATCTTCAGTATGACCAAAAGCATCGAGAACCATTTCACGATAGTCATTGGAGCGCTGTTCAGGAACTCCTGGAAACCCTTCCCCATGACACATCCACTCATAGTAATTGGATAAAAAACCCTTGCGATACAGGTGAATTTTAACCGTTTCCGCATCCCAAAGCTGTTTGTTCTTACATTTAAAACATGGACACCTAACTTTATTCGGGTAATTACTCTCGGGATGATCTTTGACGTACTCAATGAATTCATCAACCCCTTTCACGAACTCTGGATTAATACTTTGCCCAACCTTCTTTTCATACATACAACTACGTTCTGTTCGTTTCATGATCACAACTTCTACACAACTCACGCATATGTATAATCACATTAGTCACAAAGCGTATTTCCTATTGATTATCCATCACAGTGTTATGGAAATGCAAATGAGATTTGAAATGCTTCCAAAGGGTCCTTATCACTCCAACCTAACCCATCCTTGTACGTTTAATCTCACTAGTGAATGTAAGCCAGGTTTTCAATTCTATGGAAAATCCGCCAGCATTTCCTTACAGTTCTCTAAGTACACGATGTAGGCGAATAAACACACCTAAACATGTACCCAGAGAACATTGTAGAGAAATGAGAAGGCAGGATATTCCCTAGAATCAATAACAAGGCATACATTCACCACCTAAGTGAGAATAAGCGTACAAGGACAGTCCCAACCGGGGACTATTCAAGACATACTCCTAATGTGTATGCCTTGAACGGGTATCTAGGCATATGATTATGCAAATGATTCATTTACAAAATATATAAAGTAAAGGACACATGCATTATACTAAACAAATATATCATAATTAAACTAAACTAAACAAATATATTATACAATTAGTAAATATTATATTAAACATTATATCAAACAAAAATATTAAACTAAATAAAATAACATACACTATATTAAACTAAACTAAACTAACATACATTATTATATTAAACTAAACCAAATTAAACTAACATATCATAATATAACAATTAAAAACTAAACTAAATTAAACTAACATATCATAATACAACACATTCATTTCAAATATTTCAACATATTTAAACATAAATACAACAACTTGAATACACTACACTAAAAACAATAACAAACTAACATATATCTAAATATAATTAGTCACTAACATGCCAAGTATAAACTAAACTAATAATTTTAGGGGTTATATTGGGCTAACCTGTAGATATGTACTTGTTATTTACAATCAAACCAAGTAAACATGCAAATCCTACAAATAATTAAGATTAAAAACTTAATTAGGGTTTATGCTGTCAGTTTTTATTTTAAAAATAAAAAAAAGGGAAAAGACTTACCATGGCTATAGAACGGCGGGAGGCTGGTAGTGATTTCGGTCGCAGAACGGCTGGTGGTGGTTCTGGTCGCATGCTTGAGGTCGGTTTTTAACCAAAAAAAGGGCAAAGCTATTTACCGAGCGGCGGCCTTGGAGTCACAAGGGGACGGTGGTCAACGGCCGGTGGTTGTGGTGAAAGACCGGTGATGGCTGTTGACATGGTGGTGATAGTTAGGGTTTCCCAAAAAAATTAAATTAAAAAAAAAAATTAACTACACTTACCAATCGGCTTTTCACGGCGGCGTAGTTGCAGCGGATCGATGGTGGTCGCCGCTTCCTCTTTCTCTTTCTGTTTCTCCCTTTCTCGTTGTTCCTCTTTTTCTCTCTTCCTCTTTCACTCTCTTCCTCTTTCTCTTTCTGTTTCTGATTTTTTTCACGAAAGAGAATCAGAAAGTAAAACTGGGGTTTTGTTGTTTATTGTTTCCGACGAAATTAATTTCTGTCAGAAATTAATTCCTGTTTTTATTTTATTATTTCCGACAGAATATTCCGTCGGAAGGATTTTTTTTCCGAGGAAAATTAATTCCGTCGGATCAGTTGGTTTACGACGGAATATTCCGACGAATTTTAATTCCTCGGAAAATTCAAAATTTCCGACGGAAAAGTATGTCCGTCGGAATGTTTTCGTCGAAAATCAGCCTATTTCTAGTAGTGTAGATTGCCTTCATGATGACATTCCTGACAAGCAATTTCATGATTACCTTGATGGCAGTTCAACCATGGATAAAACCTATAAGAATGGTAAAATTTGGAGCTATCAAGAGTTTGGATCCATCACATTAGAGCCATGGTTGATATTTGGAGACAGACAATCATTTCTTGATGTGTTCAAGGACTATTGTGTACAAGAAGGGTTTGGTGTTTATGTTGAAAAGAGTGACAAAACAAGATTGATAGCAAGGTGTGCTATAGAGAATTGCAACTGGAGGATTCATGCCTCTACAATGACAGACAAGGTTAGATGGGCAATCAAGACTTTGACAGGGGAGCATAGAAGTTGTGGGAGGTTGGAAAGAAACCCAATAGTAAGTTCTGAGTGGCTGTGTAGACATCTGCAGTCAGACATTGAAGCCAATCCTGACATTGCAGTTGAGTCTTTACAAAGAATCTGTATGGAAAGGTTTAGGCTTCAAGTCAAGAAAAGGTTGTTGTACAAGGTCAGGGCAATGTCCAAGGAGATCATCCATGGACATTTTGGAGAGGCATACTCACTATTGCCTAGGTATGCTGAAATGGTGAAAGAGACTAACCCAGGTAGTTATGCTCTTGTGACATGGAGTGAACCTACTGCAACTGAGCCTCCAAGATTCAAGGCTTGTTTTTTTTTCTTTTGCTGCCCAAGTTAGGGGATTCTTGAGAGGGTGTAGAACTTTCATTGGCATTGATAGAGCCCACCTAAGTGGACATTTCAAGGGAATATTGTTAACTGCAGTTGGGATTGATGGGAACAATGAGATTTTTCTCATTGCCTATGGAGTGGTTGGTTCTGAGAGTATTGACAGCTTGGGCTATTTTCTGAGGAATTTGAAATACCTTTTTGAGAAGGAAGGGTGCATGAAAGATGATTGGACCTTCATCTTTGACAGAATGAAGGTAAGCATCCTGGAAACTAGTTTATTACATGTGATTTACTGTTTTTTTCTTATGTTCAACTCTCAACCATTAAACTATATTCTTTGCAGGGTGTTGATACAACAATTTATGAAGCATTCCCCAGAGCAACTAGAAGAGTGTGTTGCCAACACCTGTACATGAACTGCAAGGCTAATGGATTCAGTGGTTCAGCTTTTCATAAGCTTTTCTGGATAGCAACTAATGCATACAATGAGTATGTATTCAATAAAGCAATGTAAAAGATTCAAGAGTACAATCCTAAGGCTGTTGAATACTTAGAGAGCTGCACTGAGATCTGGTCAAGACATAAGTTCGATCCTGCACTCTGTTGTGACCATAACACAACAAATTTTGTGGAGTCTTTCAACTCATGCACCAAGCCCAACAGAGATCTACCTGGTGTGAAAATACTTGAAGGTATTCACTTCCACTCAATAACAACTTGCATTAAGATAAGTCCCCTATTTCTTGTTTTCATAATGTTTTTGCATACTGTTTTGAAGCTATAAGGCAATGGGGCATGAAGAGGATTGGCTCAAGGTTTGACAAAGCCGTAAGCATGGGGGATATGGAGCTGACTGAATATGCAGCCAAGATTCTGCAAACAAGATCAGATGAGTCTAGGTTTTGCTATGCAATTTTATGTGGTGGTGATGAGTTTGAGGTGAGAGACCAACATGTGCATTTTCCCATCAAGCTGAACACTGGCATTTGTGGTTGTGGGAAGTGGCAACATTCAGGACTCCCATGCAAACATGTACTAAGGGTGATTTACCACCAGAGGCTGCAACCTGCAGACTTTGTAGCCCCTTGTTTCAAAGGGAAGGCATACAAGCTAACTTATGCAGAACATATGCACCTAATGCCTGACCCAACTCAATGGCCATCACTGAACCTACCTAACATACTACCACCATTGGTTAAAAGAGCTACAGGGTGACCAAAAAAGCAAAGAAGAAGAGGGCCAAATGAAGCAAGGAAAGGGAAGAGGCATTCAACAATTAAGTGCAGCTTATGCAATGAGTTGGGGCACAACATGTTGACTTGTGCATCAAGGAAAAAAAGCGCTGCAACTGAAGCAAGCACATCAACCACCTTCTCTCAACCCAAGAAGAAAACAAAGAGAACAGTATGAATGCACAGCCACTCATGTTTTTAATGCACAGCCAGTTTATCCATGTAATTTTTGAACATTAATAGTGTAGTGTGTGTTGTGTTGTCTAGTTTCTTTTAACATAGCCTTGTAATTTAAATAGGAAGCAATCTTTTGGGCACATGATTTGAACAGGAAGCAATATTTTGGGAACATGATGTAATTTCCCTCCTTATTAAATTTCATTGCAATTACAATAGTTCACTTCATCATTACAATCACCACTATTACACACATCAATACCCCTAATTTCATAATAAAATCTAGCACTTTTTGTTGTTGCTTGATTTTCTTCTTCAACTGATTCAATTCTTCATGCACATTGCTTTGTCCTGAGCCATCCCTTGCATAACAGCTTCCCCTGCTCCGACCTTCTTCATGCATCTGAACCTTACACCATTTGAAGCTATCACATGAATCACACTTATAACACAGCCTTTGTGGATTAGATGTTGACTTCGAGCTTCTAATTGCATATTTTCTACCACAATTGCAAAATTTATTTGGAACCTTGACATATGCATACTCATGTGTTTGAGGAGGATGTGTTTGATATGAAGCTCATGATTATGCAAAAAGATCTGCTATGTGTGTTTTAGTGTACTGCTTAGCCGTTACACTGAGTATGTTTACAGGTATTTTGTGTAAAAATTTACAAAAGTAATGACATTTGGTGAAATATATAAACTCCTTAATGGCATTTCATGAAATAAGATTTGTAGTAACGGCCAACTAACGTCCAGACCTCATTAATGGCATGGGGTGTCAATGTGATATTTGTCAGTCGCATTTGGTGAATTTTAAAGGGTTGATGATATTAGGTGAATTTTACAGTTGCTTAGTGACATTTGGTAAAATAGCCGTTTAACTTTACTTCAATACTTTGTGAACTCAATTTTAAATTTCAGATTTTGGCACTCAATATGGACTAGGGACTACTCACAAATTCAAATCTACACCACCTTTCCCTCCTCCCTCATTTTCTTCTTTCAATAGTCTTCCATTCACTGGATTTCCCCCTCTTCTCCATATCAAAAATCAATGGCTCCCCAAAACCCTAAACCTCTGCAACAATCCCCACAACACCCCCTTAAACACCCACAAATTCAACATCCAAAAATCAGCAGCAACCACAAAACCCTAAAATCAACCGAAATTGGTCAATTGCAAATTTCGAAATCGGAAAACCCTTAGGGAAGGGCAAATATGGCAGAGTCTACCTCGCTCGCGAAACCAAGGTTTTCCTCTAATTTCTCGAGTTGTAATTGATTTCTTCACTGTCAATTTTATTGCAAATTTTAATTTTTGATTTTGGTTTTCAAAATTTTGGAGGTGCAGAGTAAATATAGAGTGGCATTGAAGGTGATTTTCAAGGAGCAAATAGAGAAATATAGGTTGCAGCATCAATTGAGGAGAGAGATGGAGATTCAGATGAGTTTACTATTCCCGAATGTGTTGAGGCTTTATGGGTGGTTTCATGATGATCAAAGGATTTTCTTGATACTTGAGTATACTTTTAGGGGTGAGCTTTATAATGAGCTCCGTCGAGTAGGACAATTTTCCGAGAAGCAGGCTGCTACGGTATAGTTTTGAAGTTTAATTTTGATTTCACTAAATTTATGAGAATTTTTGTATGTGTTATCTGTTAAATTTATGCGGGGTTTATGTTTTTCACTATCAATATTGTGGTTTAGTTGTTTAATTGGACTTCTTATATCTCGAAAATGGCTCGTGTATATTGATCGCAATGATGGGATTAGGAATCACTGTTTTTGAATTTTGATTTTGGGTTATTAGGAAGTGATTAAGTTTTATATATTTGATGATGTATGTTTTCTGTTAATTCAAATGGTGCTCTTTATGATCATTGGGCTAGGAAGAAAGTAGTACAATGCTGGTTTGGTGCCCTTTGGAGGGTGGTCAGGATTAAGATTGAATCCTATGAAAATTGTCATTTTTTTATGTTCTATTTTCTGTTAATTCTAGTGGCTTTCTTGTATTTTCTGTCCTAATTGACTTTTGAACTTCAGTTTTGCTGATCTTAGATAACTTTTCTAATTTCAGTACATTGCAAGTTTGACAGAGGCATTGTCATATTGTCATGACAAGAATGTCATCCATAGGGACATCAAACCGGAGAATTTGTTGCTTGATCATGAGGTATTATATTGAGTAACTTGCTGTTTTTTTGTTCAAACGGTGGACTACATTATACCAATCTGCGCACCTCATAGTATACTGTTTCATATACAATGTATTCAATGTTCATTCTTCTTTAGTGAATAAAACCTTGAGCATTAGTTATTATTGAGTTGGTAGGCTGTGTGTCAAAACATTTACAGTGTCAATTAAACAGTTTCCTGCTTAGAGATTGTCACACTAAGTCACTTACACTGTGATTCCTTAATTTATCATTCATCGCACTTGGGATGTGTGAGTCAATGATCTGTATGCATGAGATATATGGAATTATTTGAAGGTCCCAGTCTGTTACAAGTTACAAACACTAGTAGGATAAATAAATACTTTATTAGCTAAGGAATTAGTCTTATAGCAGTAGGTAAATAAACTAAGTGTGCTATATTTTTGCACGTCAGGGTCGTCTGAAGATTGCAGATTTCCGGTGGTCTGTACAGTCAAGAAACAAGAGACACACTATGTGCGGAACTCTTGACTATTTGGCTCCTGAAATGGTTGAAAACAAAGCCCATGATTATGCAGTTGACAATTGGTCTTTGGGTGTCCTTTGTTACGAAGTATGAGTTATTGTATGGAGTACCTCCATTCGAGGCTGAGAGCCAATGTGATACTTTCAGAAGGTAAAATGAATGGCATAAATGAAATAAGTAAACAATTATGTAGGTTTATAGCCTACTTAGCTTAGTTGTTTCCTTATGTAGGATTATGAAGGTTGATTTGAAATTCCCAGATGCACCCCAAGTTTCTTCTGAGGCCAAGGATCTAATTACTCGAGTAAGTTCTTTCTTCATAGTAGAACAGAACTTTTACTTGGAACCAATGCACTTCTAAAAGATTTTTGGTATTACTGCCTTCTGATCATGAAACTTGGATATCTATCTTGCAGCTTCTAGTGAAAGACTCTTCAAAGAGACTCTCTCTTCAGAATATATTGGAGCACCCCTGGTACCAAAGAACGCAGAACCTACAGGAATTTGCCTTAAATTGATTAGAGATTTCTCAAAGCTAGTCAATGAGGTTCTACTCAATGCTGTATCCAGAATGTATTTATATATTCCAGGTTTTTGTTTCAAAAGTCATCCGTGGCTCCTGTGGACAGTAAGTTTTTGTTTTGGAAGTCATCACTGAAGGTGTTTTGGAAGTCATCAACGAAGGTCGTGGCTCCTGTGGACGGTAAGTGTTCAATCTGTTGACCCTCCTAATTTTTCTGTGCAGTTGTCATCGAGGCAATGTTTTATTTTGCCAGGTTTCTGCCAAAAATGAAGAAGTATATTTTGCTGACTAAACAAGTATAATTTTGTAAAAAGGTTTAATGAAGAAATGTAATTAGTTAAAATGGAAACCTTGCATGGATTGTGCTGGCATGAGACCCATATGTTCCTCCACCAAGTACATATGGTATCTTATTCGATAAAATTTTGTCCAAGGTGACTGAGTATCATCACAAGATATACCATAAGCTGATTGATGATGTGAAGAAAAAACGGAGCAGCCAGCAATTTAATTCCGCTAATTGGTAAATGTGTTCAGATATGTCAAATTTCCTTCTTGATTTTCTATTGCTGTCACTAAGTCATTAGGTAAGGACTAAGGTGATGGCCCTTTTATTCATAGGTAAGGCGATGGTTACAAATCTTACAATTAGGAGAGTATCAGTACAGTATACTTGATGTTACTTGAATTGATGTCCAATTTCAACCCATACTAAATCCAGTTAGCAAATCAACATTTACACTTTGATAGATCAATGGATTCATTGTTTCAGAAATCTTCAAAAGTGGCACTAATTCAGCCTCTATATGGAGTAATACTTCAACTTACAAATCCCTCGCCCTTGAATTGTACTGTACCAACTATATACGATATCTTGCATTCTTTGAAGAACATTTAAAAAAAAAAAAAATGGTTTATACCTTTATTGACAAGGGGGTACACAAGGAGGTCGAGGACTAGCATAAAGGTATACAAATTATACAAGTAGTTCTGTTTGGTATCGAGCTGAGAGTTGGCAACGACCCTGGTGAAGTTGGTCTTTGGCTAGTCTGGTTAAGAGGCGTATGGTGTGGGGGTTGTCTCTTCATTTTTGCATCTAGCCCATTAGCTTCGCTGGCTTTTGAGACATTATTCCATTACTGATTATTGTTAATTTTCTAAAGATCAGTTTGAGACATTACTTCTTTTGAGTAAATGTTGATCTTATAATGTACGCTAAAGCAAAAAAATAAATTAAAGGTCTTATTAGATTGGTATTGCACAAATTCTTATACGTGGCTGATCACACCATGTGGTCAGCCATTATATGGGTTACTTCGTTAGTGTAATAGGGGTTACTTGGTCAATATTAAAGGGATTATTTTGTCAGTGTTATAGATGTCAGTATTATTAGGATTACTCGATCGATATTATAGGGGTTATTTTGTTCTTTTATAAGTGACCACAAGGTGTGGTCAGCCATACACAAAACGAGCTATTTGTATTTTATAATTTTTTTTCACTAAAAAATTAAAAAAAAATTTAGTCATTGAGTACTTGTTAGAATCAATTATTCAAAAAAAAAAAATACTTATTAGAATCATCGTAATATATAA